AAAAATGACATTAATTAAAAGAATATATTCAATGCCATACCAAACTATCAAAGGACTACTTTATAAAACTAGAAAAAATAATAATGAAATTCATCTAGAAGCAAAAAAGGTCAAGAATCTCATGGGAAATAACAAAAACTAGAGGTTCCATACTGACACTATGCTACAAAAGTAATAATTCTCAAAACAATTCAGTACTGATTAAAAAAAAGATCAAAAAATAGAACAGATTAGCTATACAACAATACAGACGAAATGTATCTAGTACTTTGGTATTTTATAAACACAAAGACTCCAGCTAGTAGGATAAGGATTCATTATATGATAAAAACTGCTGGGAAAATTGGATAGCAGTATAGAAGAAAACAGATTTAGACCAACACCTCACACCTTATTCCAAAAAAAGTGCCAAATAGACACATGACCTAGATATAAAAAGTCACATTATAAATAAATTAGAGAAACATGGAAAAAAATTGCCTATCAGATCTATGGATAGAAGAAAAGTTCATGACCAAACAAAGGACAGAGAGGATCACAGGAAATAAAATGGACAGTTTTGATTACATGAAATTGAAAAGGTTTTACATAAACACATCTAATAAAGTCAAGATTAAAGGAAAACAACTAGGAAAAAAATCTTGGCAGCAAGTTTTTCTGATAAAGGTCTCATTTCTCTGACATATAAGGAACTGACACAAATTTGTAAGAGCAAGTGACCAATTGAGAAATGGGATACGTAGTGGAGAGAGCACCAGCCCTGGATTCAAGAGGATATGAGTTCAAATGCAGTCTCAGACACAAAACACTTACTAGCTGTGTGACCCTGAGCAAGTCACTTAACCCCATTGCCTAGCCAAAAAAAGAAAAAGAAAAAAAGAGAAATGGGATAAGGATGTGAACATGCAGTTCTCAAAGCAAGAAATCCAGGCTATCTACAGCTATATGAAAAAATGTTGCAAAAATCACTATAAATTAGAAGTGAAAATTAAAGCAATTCTGAAATTCCACCTCCACCTCACCAGATTGGCAAAGATGACAAAAAAAAAAGGAAAATGATAAAATGTTGGAGGGGCTGCAGGAAAACAGACATGTTGATGTACTGTTGTTGGACCTGTAAATGTATACAACCATTCTGGAAAGCAATTTGGAATTATACACAAGAAGGTACTAAAACAGTGTGTGTCAAAGACCTAGCTCTATCACTGCTAGGCTGTTAATAACAATAACAACAATAATAAGAATGGCTAGCATTTACATAGGATGTACTATGTGCCAGGCACTGTGCTTAGCACTTTATAAAAAAAGATCCTATATGTATAAAAATATGTTTAAAGTTTAATTAAATTGATATTTTAAAATTTCATTAAATATTTAAAGTTAAATTAAATTTCACTAACAACAAAATCGGGGGGGGGGGGGAGTGACACACACCTGGAGAGAAAATGCTTCTAAACAGGGGCAGCTAGGTGGCACAGCGGACAGAACACCGGCCCTGAAGTCAGGAGGACCTGAGTTCAAATGTGGCCTCAGACAAAACACTTCATGCTTGCTTAACTGTGTGACCCTGGGCAAGTCACTTAACCCCAATTGCCTTAAAAAAAAAATCTGGCCTTAGACACATAATACTTACTAACTGTGTAACCCTGGGCAAGTTGCTTAACCCCACTGCCTAACCAAAAAAAAAGAGAAAGGAAGAAAATGCTTCTAAATTCCACAATATCTTTGATAAGTTAGCTCATTTATATATCTATTCCCTAAGTAATACATAATCTCTTTTAACAGGACATACTCAGCACTGGAAGGTAGCCTGGCAGAGGGTGCAAAGTGCTAGACTTGGAGTTCAAAGATCTGGTTTCAAATCTAGACTCCACTACTTATTACCAGCATGGCCTCAGCCAAGTTACAACATTTGAGTCTAAGAATTTGCTCTTCTGTAAAGTGGAAAAGTTAGATTAAATGACTTTTAAGGTCCTTCCTAGATCCACATCAATATTCTACAGAAAAAAAAAGGAGCGTGCAATTATTTGATTTTTTTTGGTACCTATCTGAATTTTAACGAGCTTATAATTTGCCTATTTTGTTACTTTCTGCCCTTGGGTTCCTAAACAGCAATTTAAGCCAAGGTAACTCCAGTGCTGATCTGACCTTTTAGCTTCATGAAAGAGACAGTTCTGCCCAAAATAAATCCACCTATCTGGATTTTTGCTGACATAGGACAGTGTCAAATTGAAAAGATTAAAAACCTATAGAAATCCAAGATAGGGTATCAAGCTGACAGGGTGTGATCAGCACTTGCTCTTCCCTAATTCTTTTCCTTCTGCACCATTCTCCTCTCCTTTTTTCCCTACCTCCACAAGAAAGCAACATTAGAGAAGACAACTGGGCAACTGAACGTCAGTCTTCTTGCAATGCCTAACCATTTCCTATAGTCCAGAGACCTTAGTCCTGATGTATATACCTTCATACATTCCTCACAATCAAGCTATTATTTTGCACAGTTAACTATAAGTGGCCTTATTTCAGAGCTCCAGCCACTTGGTATGTGATTCTTAAAACATAGGCCTATATCCTATAAAGATCAGCCAGGTTTTCAGCTAGAAGTCAACTGCTCATTGGTCCTCTCTCACACTCACCAATAAAACCATTTATCCCTACCACCTACTGTATAACTAAACTAAATTGTGTCATACTTTATATAACAATAATTCTCTCAACAAGAGTTAGCAAGATATTCACTTTAAGCAGCGTTTCCAGTAATGGAAATGAATTTGTGCTAAGCTGAACTCACATACTGCCCACATTACAGAACAAGCAAAAATGAGCAGGAAGCAATAACTAAGAAGGAAGTAGGCTCTGACCTCTTTACCCAGTAAAATTTAACTCTACAGGAGGTGGTTTCTATAAGAAACCTTTGTAACCTTCCCCAATCTGCCTCTAATGGTAACTGTAAAATCTTCTACGTGCAGCAAACACGCTCAATCACTCCTAGAAAACTATCCTTTCTTAAGCCTACCTAATACAACACAACCATCTCTGGATTGTCCTCCCAAAAATCTCCTTTTTGGACTGGATTCCAATTCCTCAAAACCTCAGTACAGTTTTGAGCAGGGTGGGGCAGGGGGGACCCCTTTAGCCTCCAGGCCACATGTGGCCTCAAGACTGCAGGTTCTCCACCCCTGGTTTTGAGAATCTGAAAACCTTTTCAAAGTAGATCACATCTTTCTGAGTAGAGAAGTAATGCTAAGAGGGGCAATTCCAATATACAAGTCAGAGTCCTAACTACTCCAAGGTTTTTCTCTTACCAAACATGAGAGACCCAACTGCGTTAACAACAAAGGAAGTGAGAATACAGTTAATTTACAATCCATCATTTCTTATTTAAATTATCAGGATTTCAAGTATTCCAATAAACTGGCTCAATCCTATAACTACCTGAGGTTTTCCAGTACTCTTCACTTTTTGGTATTCTCTCCATGCCAGCCTTACTTCATATGCTGCAATTGGTCCCAAAAAGAATTACAAAACCTTCATTTTAAAATGTCTTGAATTCTGCAGATTCTTCCCATTATTCTAGCTAATGTGTTGAAGCTGCATACCCCCACCCCCACCCCAAACAACTTCTTTTCCTTCTTAGATAGGATTATGCTGTCAGCTCCCAATTTAGGGGGCAGGAAAAGCAGATGACAAGAAGCAAAGGATGGGAACTGCTGAGATCACTCAAATGAAGGACAATCTTTGTATTATCACTGCTTGTAGGGGTGGCAAGTTACAAATAATATCTATTGTTTGGTGGTGGGCTTAGAAGGGGACTGGACAGAAATTATAGTGGTTTGTTTTGTTTCAAATTTTTAACAGGCTTTAATTAAAACTGGCTTCTCTGACATTCACGATTGCTTTGTTAAGCAAATACTTGCTTGCTTTTCTACTTTGGCACAGATGAATTCTACAGAGGTGGTTATATATTACTAAATTCTCATACAAGTGCCCAGATGACTAAGGCAGGGAACAAAGGACTACCACCAAGTGTCAATTGCTCACCAAATGCCTAGACAACAGAATCAGTTTTCTCATTTGTATGGTCAGATGACCAGAGAGACTCATCTTCAGTTTGCTAAGACATTAATATATAAGGGCAAAGGATTTGCCACCTGACATGTCAGCAAGAATGGTTGCTACAACAATCTCAGTCAAAAACAACAGCCTGGGGGCAGCTAGGCTCTGCAGTGGAGCAAATGGAGCTCCATTTGGCAATGGAGTCAGAAGGACCTGAGTTCAAATCCGGCCTCAAACACTTGACACTTACTAGCTGTATGACCCTGGGCAAGTCAGTTAACCCTGACTGCCTCACAAAAACAAACAAACAATAAACAATAGCCTGAAAAAATTGAAAATTATGGGGATGCCCATCAATTGGGAAATGGCTAAACAAGTTGCAGTATATGATTGTGATGGAATAAGACTGTGGTATAAGAAAGGACAAGCAGGAGGGCTTCAGAAAAACCTGGAAAGAGTTATCTAACCTGATGCAAAGTGAAGTGAGCAGAACCAGGAGAAAGTCACTATACACAGTAACAGCAATATTGTAATGATGATCAACTGTAGGAGACTTAGCTACTCTGATCAATACAATGATCCATAACGATTCTAAAGGACGCAGGATGAAAGATGCTATCCACCCTCTAGAGAGAGAACTAATGAACTCTGACTATAGACTGATGCATACTTTTTTCACTTTGTGTTTCTTGCTTTTTATTTATTTTGAGGTGCAACATGGCTAATATGAAAATACATTTTGCATGACTTCACATGTATAACTGATATCAATTGCTTGCCTTCTAGGTAGGGGAGGAGCGGGAGGAAGGGAGGAAGAGAATTTGGAACTCAAAAATTTTAAAAATAAATATGTAAAAATTAAAAAAAACCCCAAAGCAGCCTAAAATAGGACAATATCACATCCAAGTAGTCAGTTAGAAGACTCTAAAAAAAAGAAATCTTACCTGGAACCCTTGACCTTAAGAAATAGAGAAACTTCCCATTCTTGGAGTGCATTATGGCCCTCTTGATAAATTCCACCACTGACTGGCAACGGTCCTCAAACTTGGGGTGACACCAGAGGCTGAAAGTACCTTTCATCAGAAAGTGAAAACAATTCATATTAGAAGGAGGTAGAGATGTAATCTGTACCACAATAATGAGTCTTGAACCTTTTTGGGTTCACAGTAACATCTGACAAGGCAAAAAAAACTTGTAGAATGCCAAACCTCCCTGTTCTTACTCATAACATTAAGAAAATGGCACTGCTTCTAATGGCAATACTGAAGTAATAGCTAGTCTGTATTAAATAAGAGAATTAAGTCAAGTCAGATATAAATTGAAGATAACAGAAGATTACAAGTTTCTGGAAAGAACCATATAACCCACAATTTCTGAAAGCTAAAGTCCAAGCTCTGAATCACCACCAAAAGATATCCTCTGGAAAGGTCCTAACTCCTTATCCATTCAAAATTCATTTTCAGGCTTTGCCTTTCACTATAGGACACTAGGGAACCCACCCACCAAATAAATTATTAAAATAGTGGTAAAGATAGGCATAGTGACACCAAAAACAAAAAATCAGCAAGTTAAATCTTCGGGGATCTCACTTGTCTTCTTGTGTTAAGCAAGAAATAGACAAGACAGAAAGCTGTGAATCTGCAATCTTCTCTCTCCCTACAGATTCCCCAGTCCCAGCACGTTACAAAGATTTCTTCTCAAGACTCTAGGAGCCTAATGAAGAGAAGAAGATGAACATTCTTGATGTTTGTTGTTTTTTTTAAAAGCAGGAATCAGTAGTATCCAAAAGGTTCTGCCCTAAAAAGTGATACTGATCACTGAAGGGATAGCTCACTATTCAGGGAGTTTCTTTTAAAGAGAAAGACAAATGTTCCACTGCAAACTGGTACCTAAAAAGCTACATAAAGTTTCTATTAAAAACTCTATTGATTCCAGAAAGAAAAGTATCTGAGGGGAAGAGGCGGGGAAAAGCGACTGGAGAAGGGTTTAAAATGGTTGTTCCTGATATCTTCCCTACCTGGAATATGAAGGTCAAACATTTATCTCTTTACTTTTCCTGTGGCCTAGTCATTTGTCATTTTCATTGGTTTATCAAAGTGCTTGGCTTTGCAATTTTTTTTTTTAAGAACAGCTGGGAAAAAAGCAGTAGCTAACCCTACAATTATACCAGTTAATTCCCAAGCCTTTGGAATCAAGTTCCTTCCTCTTCCCCTTCTGCCCCTGGGTGGAAGAGGAGGCTACTACGGAACAAGAAGAGAGCTCATGCTGACCTAAATGACCAACCCCTGCCACAAAAGTGATACAGACCCTACGCACATCATCCAAATGAGGCAAGGAGAAGAGAAGAGAAGAAAGTGCTCAAGAAAAGTATGAAGGAAGCTGCTGCCCTGGCATGATAAACTCCAGTAGGCTAAACTCAGAGACGGAAAAGCTTAAGTGATCAAGTGACATCCTCAAAGGATTTGTACACTCCTATTTCTTTGGAAAATATACAGATATTACAATGGAGAGCTAGACTGAACCTCAAAACCAAGGCTAAACCTCAATTATCGCCACAAGCCTTTGGGCACAGACCAAATAAAAAAATGAAAATTCAACTTCCTTAGAAAATCCAACAAGTTAACTTCTAATCAGATAGGGACTATGGAAATTTGTTAAGTATCATCTGACTATGAGAGAGTTTTGGCAGCTGAAGCCTCACCCAACCTTAAGTTCCTCCTGAAGAGGACTTCTGTCTAAATAGCTTCAAAGCTGACTGTAAGGGACATTTTTATTACTATGCTGACAGCCAAGAAGATGCAAAGAAGGCTCAGAGCAAAACCAGGAGATCGGAGCAGAATACCTCCACTTGCACATCTTCGTAGTTCATGAGCCAGAAATGTCTCTAGATGTTGAGTTTAATTATAATCCAAGAACTGGAGAATTTATCTCATGAGACTGAGTCTTCATTCTACCAAGAGGGTTACAGTGCTACTCATTACTGAAAGCCTCCCCAACAATCTTGGTCACTCTCTCCTACTCCAAGTTAACAAGAAAACCCTTAAATAGACCCTCCCCCTACTCTAAGCATTTATTCTAGTGACTGACATTTGCTACCCTCCTCCTCATGGAAGTCTCTTTTGTCATGTTTCTTCCTCTTTGCAGTCTCATACTTTTCTTTTCCCCCTTTATAAGTAAGGTAGCAAGATGGCTATCTGGAAATAAGGGAACGGACTCAGACTTTAGTCATGTAAACTTTTTGTTTGTTTGTTTGTTTTTTTAGGCAATTGGGGTTAAGTGACTTGCCTAGGGTCACACAGGTAGTGTCAAGTGTCTGGTCTGAGGCTGGATTTGAACTGAGGTCTTCCTGACTTCCAGGGCTGGTACCCTATCCACTGCACCACTAGCTGCCCCCAGGCAGTAAACTTTGAAAGGTAGTACTGAAAACAAAGTTTATAGATCCTAAGGCAAAACATATAATGGCAAAGAAATTGAAGACTATAAATTTTTCATAGGCAGGGATCATGTTTTCCACTTCTCTGCACTACCTATTCTCCCCCTGACCTAAATTTCAAGTGCAAGGATCTATCTACAGTAAGCATTAAAATGATTATTGACCACTGAAGCTCTTTTCTCTGTACCTCAACATCATCTCTAGAGTCTTTTCCAGTCCTAAAACACCGTGGTTCCAAGGCTCTCCCCAGAAGAACATCGTCTGCTCTTACCTCTGTAGTGCTCCATTCTGGTATGGTGTGTGATACCCTGGGATCGGAAGCTGAGGCTCAGGATATATCGGGGATCAGAGCTGTCCCGTACCAGAAAGGAACCATCTGGCTTCCCCTTCAGTTTCATTTCAGCATCTTCCCAATTCATAGGCCCCCAATACCAACCACACTACCAAGACAAAAGCAGGTTTTTGGTTAACAGAATTGAAAAATGGTAAACTATTTAAAATGGTCCAACCCAACAAAAAAAATACATCTTCAAAATATTCCAGCAGCTAAATATGTTGGGAACAGCCCTGTCTGTCACAATTGATAATAAGCCCATTGTTTTTCTGGACCTTTACAGTTCCAGGAGAATAATTCTAGTATTTCCATGACCAGAGGCAGTAAGGAACACTGGTGTAAACTGATGTAGTTTGACTAAGGGATCCAGCTACTTGTGTAAATTCTCTCCCATCCCCAAACAAGACTTTCTCTACCATTCAAAAGTCTTTATGAATTAACAATCTAATGACCCTTTCCTTCTTCTTGGACTTAACAAGAGTAGACCATATTTTAACTATAGGTAAATGGGGCAAAGAAAACCATCCTTCCCCTAAAGCAGGGGTTCTTAATCTGTAGTCTGTGAACTTTTTTTAAAAAAATATTTTGATAACTGTATTTCCAGATAAATGATTTCCTTTTGAATCTTATGTATTTTTAAACATTTTTTTCTTAGACAAGGTCTCTAGGCTTCACTAGACCGCCAAGGGGGTCTGTAACACAAAAAAGGTTAAGAACCCCTGCCCTAGTGGAAAGGCTGGAAAGGCCAAGGAATAGTAGGCACACCAGTGGTAGGGGATGGAATTGGAGTATGGGAAGGAAGGTACCTCTGGTCCCCAGCACAATCCTACCTTCTCCAATTCCCGAAGGCTAGCTGCAAAGCTGCTAGAGTCAGGTCGGTAGAGAGGACATTGAAGGTGCTGGGTGGGTTGGTTATGTAGGGATTCAGTAGCTCGGATGGGTACAATCCGGGGAAATGCATCTGCAGGGCAACAGAGGTCATCTGTTCACTCCCCCCAAAACAGATATTAATTTCTGGGGGTGGGGCAAAGCATTAGAGGCTAAGCTGGAAAAGGGAAAAAAGCCAAAGCAGTAGGAGAGAGCTGGATGGACCAAAGAAAGCTGTGTGGGCTTATGTGAGCTGTGAAGGCTAGTGAAGATGGGCTGGGGTCTTTTACCCCACCAGAGGAACAAGGGAGCAACTCACTAACCTGACTAAGGTGACTACTTCAGTGGCTTCACCAGCCTAGAGCAGATTCCAACTTCTCCCACATCGAGGTAAAGTTCCAGGTAAAACAGCCTTGGAAATAAGTCACTCGCCTACTTGCCCAGGAAGAGTAACAATTTACGCCAGGCAAGTAGAAAAGAATGTTCAACTCATTCATTTTATTTCCTAGTAGGCTGGCAAAAGTGGGTATTGGCTGCTAAATCTTTGGTACTTATTTACCAGGCTGCAGTAAAAACCAAAAGCTTAGAAAAACCACAGTACTATTCATGACCAGTTATTCATAAAGCCCTTCCACTATTACAAGAGAAGATTTGGGCAACTATGCAAGGCCTAGTAACAAACAGGGAAAATTCAATAAGGGGACCCCAATTCCTAATAAAATCTGATTCACTCACAAAAGAAAGATGTTAAAGAAAGGACAGCTCAGACTCACTCCTAGCAGTCTAGCCTAGCCAAGGGGGCAAGACTCAAGTTTTCTTACAATTTTAGATTTTTCAAATAGAATCCCTCCCTTCTTCCACTCAACCCCAGCTCCAGCCTCCACTCCCACCCCGAACTCCCTCCCCCTCCCTACCCAGGGTTAATCATACCACATGCCCTACTTTCTCAAGTCTTGCCACTAAAGCTAAGCTGACCTGGGGCATGGGGCGGAGGAGGTGGAGGCAAGGGAAAGGACTGCAGGGAAGACCCCATCGGAGCCACTAGGACAGATGTAGGCAGCGTCCCACTGATATCATCTAGAAGAGAGAACAAAAGTAAGCAGTTCAGAAATGCAAGAACAGAGTCAGCAGTGAGGATAGCAAGCAACAGGATAACCCCTAAAGCAATCTGGGCTAATCCTTCCATCTTGCCTTTGAAGGCAGATTCCTGCAACTACCTCAACCTGGTTGGCATTTAAATGCAGATTGGGAGAGAGATTTGGGTAGAATGTGTTTGGGAAAGTAATGATTCTATTTCTAAAGTAGCTCGGTGGCAAGAGACCCAAGGAAGGGCAGAAATAAAAAATTCAAGTCGATACAGCAGCAATGGTACCACAACATGCAAGAACTCCAGCTTCAGGGAGGCAAAGGAAGAGAACTAGGATAGGGAAGAAACCAGAGAGTCCAATATTGGGAATCCATCAAAAGCTCACTTGCCTCCTACTAAAGTAAAACCTGTTGTTTGAGTACTCCTTCCACCCCCGCCTCCCAAAGGGCAGAAAAAAGTCAAGGGGAGAAGCACTGTACCTAGGAGGCTGAGGCTTCTTCGTGGAGGAGGAGGGGGAGTTGGAGGATGTGGAGAGGTCAGACCTCGCTGAGAAATGTCCACGTCCACAAGTGACACTGTTTCACCTGAGGGATTGATTCATGGAGCAAGCATGTTACAGAAAGCAAAGGCTGAAGGTCAAAAGCAAGCAAAGGTCAAGGATGGCTGGACAGGTCACAACTCTTGAAAAGTCCAAAGCTTATTTTGTAGGGCTTAAGTCTTTACTGCACAGTAATAAAATAATTTTAAACCAGGTTACCTATTTTGAATATTAAGCACAGAATAAGAGGCATTTGGGGAAATGACATACATGTAGGAATTCATAATCTAGGTTCTGTCATTAATTTGTGTAACCTTGGGGGAGGGAGATATACAAACAACATACACATAAATCCTATTTATCACAATTCATATTCACAGACTCCTACGCCAAATAAGCATCAGTTTGGAAAATAAAGCAAGGCACATGCTATAAGTCTGTAGGAAGGAAGAGACACAAAACAATTTGTAAGAAAAACACTGGCAAGGGTAACAAAAGGAAAAGATCCCAAACCACCAACCAATTTTTTCCTCCTAGATGACTCTGATTTTTACAGAGCACTTTGCCATCAGTCTTTTTTTTTTTAAATCTCAGATTAATCCAAAAAACTAAAACCACATAGGCTGAAAACCATATCCAAAACCCTAAACGTCACAACAGCTACAAGAACACTTCAGTAGGATCTTGGTGAAACGATGTTGGTTTCATTCAGAAGACAAAAATCAATCCCTCAGTTAAAAGAAGTGGTCAACATCTCTACCAGGATCAAAAGAATTAAATATAAGGACTGTTGTACTAACTCCTTCTTCCCCTCCCCACACCCTTATAGGAGCCAGAGAGACCCAAGTGGCTCCATAGAGTACTATGCACAAATCAAATTTGTCACCAAGAATCCCATCACTAACAACCTATTTTACTGATATGAAAACAAAGATGTCCCAGATGGTAAATATAAGTCATTTTTTACAAGACTGCATGCGAAATCAAGAAAGTTTTGGGAGTCTACACAAGAACTTTGACTCATAGAAATCTAAGCATTCTCAACTTCAAGGAGGGAGGGAGTAATTAATAACTGGAAGGAAACATTTATTATTTAATTTGAGGCTTGGGACAATGTGACATCATTTCTCATGTCACATACATAAGAAAACAACCTACTGTTCAGTTCTGACATTTCCTCGATACCACTTTACTAAGAAAAGGCATAAAATCTAGGACACTTCAAAAAGAGGAATTTCAAAAAGGTTTTTACTGATCAGTCCTTCTCACCAAAGCTGAATACAAAGTGCCAAACCACAAAAAATGTATGGCTTTATTTTGATAAAGACCATTCATCACTACAGCCTGTTTAAACAGAAGATTATCATCTTAACATCTATCATCTAACACCATCATCTTAACATGAGAAACAAAGACCTACCCTCTTTGGAGAGCCTCCTCACACAAACCAGAAAGCTGTTATCCACAGGACACCAGAGATCCCTTCCTGGATTCCTAACAGTGCTTTCTGCTAAAGCTACTACAATAGGAGTGACTTATAATGGACACAAAGAAGAACTCCCTATCAGCTGAAAGGTGGTTAGACACAAAAATAGGTAACATATGAGGACTATGTAATCCCCTTCACTAGAAGTCTTTAAAAACAGACTGCATAATCCTGAATCCAGTCTAGTTAATCCACAGACATTCCAAGACAGTGTGTCAAACTCAAACAGAAATAGGCCACATACTGACTTAGAAAACCACAAATATTAGATTGTATGTTTTATGTATAAAATAATGTATTGTATATGTTATATATGTATGTATCATACATGTTAGTATAATAACATGTTGTAGTTTTATTTATTTTGTCAAACATTTCCCATTACTTTCTGTTTTTGCTAGGCAATGGGATTAAGTGACTTGCCCAGGGTCCCACAGCTAGTAAGTGTCAAGTGCCTGAGGCTGGATTTGAACTCAGGTCCTCCTGACTCCCAGGCTAGTCTTCTATCTACTCCACCACCTAGCTGCCCCTCCCATTACATTTTAATCTAGTTTGGGCAGTAATTGAAGTTTTTCAGGCCTTGCTGACTCCCACTATAGTTCAGCTATAGGACCCTCCAATGGCTATTTTCTGTACTGTGATCATACAAATTGGCATTTCCTAATTTTAATCAGGAATTTTTTAATCCTCATGTTATAATAATGAATTTATGCATTTCATGGGGGGGGGCACTCCCTAATTATGGACATATGCCCTTTACCTCAAGCTACAAGCCTTCATCCTTCTTTATGTTTAATCAGTCCTGAAATTCTAGAATATACTAAATACCATAAAACAGGCCTTTCTATGGCCTACCCAGAAGGGCATTTCTGTGGCAGATCTCAGATCCACTCTTCCTTTTAGGTTGTCAAAAATCAATCAACAAATGTTTACTCATCACCTACCAGATACCATGCTAGATACTAGGTATAAACAGACAAAAATCAAAAAGTCCCTGCCCGCATAGAATTTACATTCTTTCAGGGGAAACAATATGCATGTGTATAAGGAGAAAGAAAATATATATACAAAGAAACTACAAGATAATGGGGGACAGGTGGTATTAGCCACTGGGGACATGGAAATCAGGAAAGGCCTCAAGAAGGAGGTAGTGCTGGAGCTGAGCTTTGAATGGAACTAGAGAATCCAAAAGGTGGAGGTGAGGAAGGAATATATTCCAGGTATGGGGGTCAACCTGTAGAAAGGCACAGTGCTGGGAGATGGAATGTTGTACGTGAGTATTAGCAACAAGGCTAAGTTAGCTAGACTGTAGAACATGTGATGTGTAGTGCTGTGTAATAAACTTGGAAAGGTAAACTGGAGCCAGATTTTGAAGGATCTAACACAGGAGTTTCTATTTTGTCCTAGAGGCCATAGGGAGCCAGTAGAGATTTGTGAAAAGGTGAGAAACTTGAGAGAGGAGGACCAACTAGCAGATTATTGTGACTGTCTTGGTGAGGTGTAATGGGGGCCCAGATTAGGGTGGTGGCAGTAGGAAGAAAGGGAGGGTTGCTTAGAGATATTGATAGTGAAAGCAGAAGCGATCAGAATGACAAGTAGACCTGGCTTACCTGTGAAGAAGGGGCTGAAGGAGACCGGAGAAAAGGCACTTTGAGTTCTTGTCAACCTGGGTTTCCTGGGAGGGGGAAAAAAAAAAAAAGAATGAGGGGAGAGAAAAAAAAAACCTGTGCATTGAATTCATTGGAAAACTCAATTTCAGATGCATTGAAAAACAAAAGAAATCCCTAGTCACTGTTGGTAAGAATCTTGTAATAAAGCCTAAAATTTAAAAGGTGGGGAAATGAAATAATTAAGCAGCTTTTTGAACAGATTTGGCTTCAGAATTCAATAGCCTACAAAGCAATAAGAAATCCCTCTGGATCTCTATCCATACCCCAGCACATTAAAAGAGTAAAATACCTTGAGTGGTAATTAGCAAATCCATTTCAGGAAGAAGGAATCTGATGCAGTCGATTTTCATATCAGAGCCAAGAAAGAGGCTCCAAACCTGAATGGAAGCCAGAGCATAGCATCGGTTTTCCCACTGGGGATTGCTGTTAGAATTGGAAGCCTTAAAAGATACCCATGGAATGAGCTTAGACTCGAGTACAGTACTACATGAGACACAAGTAGTTTTCAACTACTTTTGCACAAATAAACCAGGAGGTCTCCAAGCCCTCAAGAAAGGCCGAGGGGAACAGTCAAATTGAAAATCTTAAGCATCAATTAACAAGTGAGCTCCCACAGTGAGCTGGGCATAGTCCAGAACCCAAAGAGACCAATCCTTGTCCTCTCTGAACTGCTCAGGGATGACACGTGCCAGTAGATGCGCTGCTTTCTTTAACTTTTCCCAACAGGCATTTTCTCGAATCTAGAAACAGCCCCATCACCTGTCCATCACTGGCTCACACTGAAAGGATTCTCACCCTGTTTTACCTCACTGAAATTAATGAAGGACAGAGAAAAGTTTATTATAAATCCATTTCTAGACTGGATATTTTTCTCCCCTAACCCACATCTTTCCCCCACCCTTCCTGCTCTTATTTTCTCAAATACTTTCCTGGTATTAAGGCTCTTCATCAGCATTATCCTCTACTCCAAGAAGTTATCTTTACAAAGTGAAGAACTTGGAATTCCCTCCTGGGCACCAACCTGAAAACAAACTCTCTCCTGAGAAACATCACAGAAAAGCTGAGTTTATAGTTATACCTCAGTTGACCTGGCTTCTCAATAATAAACTAGAATATTCCAGAAGGCTCTAATAAAGAGAAACCCATACTTGGAATGGGTTTTGCTCCTCATCTCTGCCTCTCAGACTCTGGTTTCTTTCAAGACTCTGCTTAAATGAAATCTTCTATATGAAGCCTTTTCCAATCCCCACCCCCCCGCTCTCTACCTCCTAGAAATACCCTATATCCATTTTATATATGTTATATGCATACTTACATGTATATATGTTTTAAAACGGCAAAGCCAAAGAAGTCAGCTTACCTTCCCCCCCTAAATGCTCAATCCCAAATCTAAGCTGGTTTTAATGCTGGCCCATTAAAAAAAAGATCTCTTTGAAAGGAAAACTGTTTTACACACACACACACACACACACACACACACACACACACACACACAAACACACAAAGTTATAGAGGTGTCATAAGTTATAGAAGAGTCATATGCTGAAAAAGCAAGCTCCTTTAAGGCAGGTGTCCCTCCCCCTCCTTTTTTGTTTTTACTATCTCCACCACCCAGCTCAGTGCTTTGCATGTAACAGACCCTGTTGATTCTTTCTCCATATCATCTCTCCCATCTGTCCTCTTCTCTCTAATCACACCCACTGCCACCTCCTGGACTTCTGCAACAGCTTCTTAATTGGTCTCCCTTACTCAACTCTCTCCCCTCTCACACATTCTGCACACAACTGCCCAAGTGATTTTTTTCTAAAGTGCATTTCTAATCATGTTTCTCTCCTACTTAAAATCCAGTGGCTCCCTATCACCTCCAAGACCAAATACAGTTAAAGTCAGACTAGCCTTCTTGTTGTTCTTCATATACATTCCATCTTCAATCTCTATGCCTTTGCATAGACTCCTCATGCCTAAAATACACTCTGCCTTAACTCTAAGGATTATAAGAAATCCCTAAGTTTTCTTCACAAGTCAGCTCAAATGCCACCTCTCACTTGACTCCCACCCCAGCTGTTAGTGTCTGTCCACTCCAATTACCTTTTACCATGTACATAAATGTGTTCCTATCAGCCCTGAGAGACTATAACCTAAGGAACCACCACATCCTTGCCTCCTTTATAGGAGGACCGTCCCAGCCAATGTAAAACAGATGCCACTATCCCCACATCTTCAAAACAAAATAATGAAACCACACTGTAAAGACCTAAGAAGGAAAACTGAGAAGCTGTCTAGTTTCCACAACCTGGCTATTTTTCAGTCCTTCCCCATAACGTCACTCCATACTGGGAACAGACACATACTCTGACTTGATGCACACGCTGTACAACCCACCTGCATATTCAGTTGGCTATATAAAAAAGATCAGCAGTGCTTATCATGTTGCCTATAGCTCAGTTCTAACACGCAGTCCTCCTTAAAGGAAGATTTAATTCCAGTGAATAGACATGTATCTTCAAGTCTGCCGCAGAGCTTCTAGAATGATTTTTTAAAAAATAACTTGGGGGCACAACATTAAACTCAGTAAGCAAAAATCTAAAGCATTGGCCTTTCAAAAGGTTCACACCTCAGCCATTTGGCCATTTGCCTTTTTCCAAAGAAAACTACATTTACTCTGCCATCTGCCCATGCTGGAGACTATAGTCTCTTTAGTGCCAAACCCTGAGGAACAGCAGTACCCCAAATGCACACATCTTGTGGAGGCCTTCTCACTTCAGCTATCTTCTCGCCCCCACATTTTAGAAACCAAGAGGAGGAGGAGGAGGAGGAGGAGGAGGGTAATTTCGAGGATCTGGAATTCAACAAGCATGGAACAGAAAGAGTACACGAACTTAAGATTAGGCTCAGTCATTCAAAAGCCCCTAACAGTTTCACCTCATAGACTTCTCTTATTCAGAGAATACATGGCTAGGGGAGGTAGAAAACAACTGAGGCTGAAAATTCACTTCCTAATAAATGTCTCTCCAGGAAACCACCCAATTAAAGATCATCCTGGGCAAGATGTACCAGGTTTAGGGACCAGCATTAATGTATCAGCAACCTAGTTGGGACTCTCAACAAATGTACCATTTTTGTCCATATCATTTCCTCTCCCAGGTCATTTAAGCAATGTGCCAGGATGCATAGCAATGTCATTATGTCCTTGCCAGAAACAGAAAATGTGTAGGGAGAATAGAGCAGGTATGGAGGAGAGTGGGGCAGGCAATGGTGAGAATTCAGCTGGTTGAACAGGATGGAAGTTAATAAAGTTCTGGGCATACTACTCACCAGATGTAGGCTAGTTGCACTTATAAGGTGATTCCACAATCCAAATCACTAATTTTGTTGCAGCAAATTTATAGGCATGTCATAGCTTTAAACAAGGGTAAGAAGAAATGTTATAGCATAGAACGAGCCAATGAAAGGTTTTGTCTATGGCTAAATACAGGTCATCTGTCATTTCCTCATCCATCTCCTACATACTCTCTAAGGTACACATACCCACTTGAAAAATAAGAGTCAAAAAAATAGTAAAGTTGATCAATGGCAAGAATGAAATACACAAGACCCAGAAGCAATCAAATATAGTGGCAGTGACTATACAAGGACTCCTACAACTAAGTTAAGAAATCAATTTTCAACAAAAACTACTTGCTGAGAAAACTGAACAATCTGGAAGAAATTAGGCTTAGACTGTTTCATACCATATACCACGATGTTACAAAAGGAAACAACCCAAATATAAAAGGTCACATCAGAAACAAACTGGAGAAGGAAGATACCTTTCACAAACATGACTAGACGAAGAGGTCTTAACCAATAAAGGAATAAAAGGGATCTCATTAGATAAAATGGACAAATTTGTCCCGCATTTTGCACAAAATCAAGGCAATTAAAATTCAAAGGGAAATGGTGAACTGGGAAAACATCTTTGAAACAAATTTCTCTAGTAAAGGTCTAATATCCAAGGTGTATAGGGAATGGATACAAATATATAAGAACTAGAGCCAGTCTCCAATAGATAATGATCAAAGGATATGAAGAAACAGTTCTCAAAAGACAGAAGTTATCAACAACCATAAGAAAATATGCTTCAAAACACTAGTAAGAGAAATGCAGATTAAAATTCTGAAGTTCCATCTTACACCCAGATGGGCAAAAATGGAAAAAAAAAAGGAAAATTAAAATAGCTGGGAAGGACTTTGAGAGGGCAAAGTAATACTAATGCACTGATATGGTCTGTGGATTGATCTAAATATTCTGCAAAGAAATTTGTAACTACACCTAAAGTTACTAAATTTCGAATACCATTTGGCCCCAGTTTTACTACTATTAAGCAAATACCCCAAAGAGATCAAAGCGGAAAATAAAGGATTCTTATGTACAGAGATATTTATACAACACTTTTTTTTTAACAAAAAACTGGAAATGAAGGTAATGTCCATCAACTGGGGAAAGAGATGAACATGGTTATGTGTATGCAATGAAATATTATTAGGCCATTATGAAAAGGATGAATTTAGAGAAAACCAGAAGACCTGCACGAATACTGAGGTAAAGTGATCAGAATCAGGAATCTATAGAATACCATACAGGAAGACAACTCTGAAAGAAATAAGAAGGGGCAGCTAGGTGGCACAGTGGATAAAGCACTGCCCCTGGAGTCAGAAGGACCTGAGTTCAAATCAGACCAGACACTTGACACTTACTAGCTGTGTGACCCTGGGCAAGCCACTCAACCCCAACTGCCTTCCAAAAAAAAAAAAAAAGGACTTAAAAAAAACTAAAAGACATAAGAACTCTGATTAATGAAATGATCAATCAGGACTTCAGAAGACTGCCAATGAAACATGTTCTTCTACCTCTTGGCATAGAGGTGATGGACTAGAGGTGCAGAAAAGGAATATTAAGAAGAATATATTTTCTGCCAGGACCAATGTGTGAATTAGTTTTGCTTGACTCTACTTATAAGAGATTTGGAGTTTTGTAGAGGGAGGCAAAGATTGATAATGACCAAAAAAAAAATGTATCAATGAAACATTATTTCAAAAAATGCACAGAATGAAATTCAGAAGGATATAAAGATAAGTCAATAAGCATTTATTAAGTGCCAAGCACCAAGCTAAGTGCAAGGAATATAAATACAAGGGAAAAAGAAAGTCCCTAACTTCAAGGACCTACTCTAATGTAAGGGGAAGACAATCCATAAAAGAAAAGTGAAAGGGGTTGGGGAGTAGGAAGGTATCCACGGTAAAGAAAGAAATTTGGAGAGTCAGGAGAAAAACATGGGGCAGCGTTGGCATCACTGGATTAAATTTAATATATACTTTTCATAAAGTTGGACAAGAAAGATTCATGGTTTCACATACAATCCTTTTTTTCCCCCTGTTCACATATATGGAAATGTTTGTGTATATTTACACTTGTCAAGTTTATAATAAAAAAAAATTTAAACAACTAAAAATAATCACCAACCTATGCTGTCATACACAAACCCCCAAGCTTTACAGCCCAGGAATATCTTGATCCCTTATGAAGTAATGAGTGCAAAGAGAGAAAAGCCACACAAAAAGGCACAAAAATCCTGGGGTTCATGTTCAATTCTAACACAAAGGCCTCTGTCCAGCAAGGTAAGATTCAAAAATTCTCATGAACCAACTCCAGGTACCCAATGATGGAACTTTCACGGAAAATCAAATACGAAGTGTCAAAGTTTAGAGTCTTACAGTAAGGGTGTGTCATTTCTGGGTGTGAAAAACCTAAGACTTATGTCCATACATGGAAAGAATCTTCCTAAAGTCATATATCAAGCTCTAATGGGGGATGATAACCATAATGGAGATGACAGAAAACAGCTTTAGGATCGACAGGATGACAGAACCAAAATGACAAGCTTTGCAGATAGAGAGTCAAATTATTTGGAATGTCACAATGGAATTCAGAAATAGAACCCTTGGACAATGACTACTGCAAGGAAACATGAAGATTTCATAAATTTTCAGATCTCTTCATGACAGCAGGGCCCCAAACTGGTACCAAAGCAGATTAGCATCTCTTCCTCAAACACATATAAAAAGAACAAAGTATTGTAATTATGCTGTCTCTACCCACCCTCCACCTCAATTCCATGATTATGGAGACCGTCAAAAATGGTATCAGCTAGTTCCTAAAGGAATTCGGCCTAAAAGAACACAAAGGAACACATGGCACCAGATTTCAAATGTGTGTGTATCTGGAAGGTAATTTAGGAAGGCCAGAAAAGGGCAGGAGCAGGCTAACAGGACATTAAGTAATGCCACCCTCCTCCTTCTTCCAAATCCAAAGGGCAACCATTTCAACACATTTTAAATGGATTAGGGTATTTCTCCAGCTTTTCTGAAACAATGTTCTATCCAGACTTAGGCCATATGTGGTAGCTTTGCTGTTCCCACTCCAATATTTGTGTTATAAATCCTAGCCTGATTCCTTGGAATGAAATTTGATGAGCTAGTGGGGTCCATTTCTTTCTTAACTTGAACTGTACTCACTAAAAAGACGATGATCCTAAACACAAAGGTCTCAGAATGCAAGGTGGTAAAAACCATGCAGCAGTTTTGAAGGCATTTTAAAAGAACTAAAGTTGTTGCTTAGTGCCAGGATATTAAAAAAAAAGTGCTAAGCCAGGTGAAATAGCTTGTGGTAATTGCATTAGAGTCAATTTCTGTAAGAGAAGAGGGGAGGGGGTGGAAAGAATGGAGAATGAAGAGATACTAGCAAACATGCCCAGAGGTTAGTAAAAAGCCAAACTATGCCCCAGTGAAAGCACAGGCCCATAATTAACTCCAGCCATGAAATAGGGAAACAAAACATCTACCCTTTGGCTAGAAGTTCAGGTGTTTGATCTCTACCAAGTCTCACAGATTCAAAGAACCCATAACCTTACTTACTTCTCTTCCCCTAACAAGGCTGTATTGAGAGTTGGGCTAATAAGATCTATAGAAATCACAGCTACCAGGAACAGACTTTTAACAAGTCTCTCACAGCTGTGAAGCTGCCAGTAAGACTGGCACATCATAAGCTATGGGAAATATGACAAGCAGCACCACAGCCAAGCACTTAAAAAGGACTTAACTTCTACTGCGATCATATCCTTAGCTTTCCTTCCAAACAGCACAAGATTTTGCTGCTGAGATTAATCTCTCATTTTGGAAATGGGACACACAAAGGAGGTAGGAACTTGCCCAAGGTTACCAAACTGATGTTGGAAATGAAGCAGGCATCTTAAATTCAGACAACCAATCCAGCACTTTCACCAAATGGCCATTGCATAACATTGGACATGTTCACATTCAACAACTACCTCAATACCTCTGTCACAAAGTCCCTGGACCAAAAAACATAATTCTCCGGTATCCTGAGCTAAGCCTCTTTGCTGAGCAATCTGCTTTGTAGCAGAAATCTTCATTATGCTCACTGTGAGAGTTGGAGCCAGAACACCCAAAGGTCATTAAATTCTGCTACCAAAGGCAAAAGCCATGTAACAATATATGCAATTTCTACTCTCAAATTTGTTGGATGTAGCAGCTAATTTCATGCCACACCTCATATTTGGAGATTCTGGAATCATAGACCCAAGTTCTGGTCAATAAAGAAAGGTAATACATAAACCACAAGAACATTAGCAAACTATCTTATGTCATTACACTTGGCTCGACTCTCCTACCAACCCCTACCATTGATGAAAATCTAATTTTCACTAGTAAGTAGAGCTGCAAGTGCATAACCCACCACAAAAAGCTGTTTCAGCAACCACACTTCAAGACCTCAGTTCCCAACATTAATCCATTAAAGATACTTAAGGGGCAAACATTCACCAAACTAAAGGGGGGAAATGCACTGACAGCTCTTTTAGAAACAAGTATGACCCTATCTCCAAGGGGAACAGAGAGCAAGGTTGTTCAAAAGTAGCAGCAAAGTCAAATCAACCTTACACTCCTATCTCCTTCTAGAAAAAATGAACTTCACCAAAACGAGGACAATACCAAATGTGCAAACAGAGGTTTCTGCTCAGACCACCACCTATTGCCTCAACCCTACCTTCTTCACTTCCTGCCATATGTCCCTGGCTTATTCCAGTACAATGGAGATTTCCTCAGGAATATGTCACTCATAAGCTACATATACCAGTATGTGTATAGATATAGATATAGATATAGATATAGATATAGATATAGATATAGATATAGATATAGATATAGATATAGATATAGATATAGATATATAGATATATAAAATCCAACACCCAGAAAGTGAAACCATAATAGCAGTCCCCACAGGAGAAGCTGCCATGCTAAGCACTACAGTACTAATGTTAAGTCAGCCATATCTTTAAAAGAAAATTCCACCTCCATTAAGAAAATTGGGGCAGCTAGGTGGCAATGGATAGAGCACTGGCCCTGAAGTCAGGAGGACCTCAGTTCAAATCCGACCTCACACCAAACACTTGACACTTACTAGGTGTGTGACCCTGAGCAAGCCACTTAACCCCAATTGCCTTTTTAAAAAAAAGAAAGAAATTAAGGAAATTAAAGTCCTTTTCTAACCAGAATTTCCATCAACTGATCCACAATTAGATGGCCAATGCACCAGAATGGATCTCTTAACAGCATACTTGGGGAACTTAAGCAAGTTTCCAAAACTAAAGTTCTAGCCTAGTTTCAAGAGGTTTCAAACTGCCCTACCTTATGACCCTAACTATTAGGCAAGCAAGTGACCTCTAGACTGCACTAGGAAACACCTCTGAAGAAATGGGAGAAACATACAAAACCCAGTCCCAAAAGACCATACATCCAGAGAAACTACTCATTAAATAGTCAGAGAGGAAGGATGGAGATCGCTGTATTGAAACTTAAGACCAAGAACAGGTCCTATCAAGACCTGAATCCAGGATTTACTGGCTAATTGAGAAGTCTTAAGTGCAGGGGAGACTTCAGAGCTTGCTCCTCTACCAATCAGTTACTGTAATTCACTAACAGTCCTAGAAGGGTAAGAGGATATGCCATTCTTACAGTCTTATTCATTTTGACCTAGTCCCTGGAATCTCAAGAAGATCCCATTAGGGGAAGGGGAAAAGGGAAAAAGAAAGAGAGCAAGGGGAAGAATGAGGGAAGAGGTAGGGAAGGGTCTCCCCTCTCGGGGAAGAAAGGAGGAAAGGAGGAAGAGGGGGAAGAAAAGGGGGAGGGGGAAAGAGAAGAGAGAGGTGAGAGGAGGAAAGAGGGGGGAGAGAGGAAGAAAGAGGGGGGTGAGGAAGGAAGAAGAGGGAAAGAGGAAGAAAAATGGGAGAGGAAGGAAGAGGGAAAGAGGAGGGAGAAGGGGGATGGCAGAGGAGGGGAGAGAGGAGGAGGGAGAAGGGGAGAGGGGAGAAGAGAGGGAGGGAAAAGAGAGGGTATAGAGAGGATACAGAGGGGGGCAGAGAAGGGGGGACGAGAGCGGAGAGAGGATGAAGAGAAGGGAGAGAAAAGAGTGAGAGGCGGAAGAGAAGGGAAAGAGAGGAGAGAAAAGGAAGAGAGGGGAGAAACGGGTGAGGTGTAAGAGAGGAAGAGGGAGGCTAGGGTAAGGGACAAGAGCGGAATCTGACAACCAACGCCCCCCTACTCCTTCCCGTCAGCAGGCTCACCTCCCCGCCTCTGGCTCCCGGGCCCTGGAGCCTCCCACGTCGGTCAGACTCACAGAAGAGCCAGCCAACTCCCCCGGAGGCCTCTTGCCGGCCGCATCCCCGCTGGCAGAGGCCCCGTTACAACTCTTCGTGCGGAAGAGACGACTGAGGCGGATTCTGAGCGAGCCTTTGCGAGAGGTGCCCAGAGGCGGCCGGAGGGGCGCCGAGAGCTGCTGCTGCGGGGGCGGCGGGGGCTCCACTCTGGAGGGCCGCCCCGGGGGCACCAGGTCCTGCAGCGGGAAGGGCGCGGGCGGCAGCTCGGGGACCAGGGGCTGCAGAGACGCTGATCGGCCGCCGCCTCCTCCTCCGCCCGCCCCCCGGCCGGGGCTGCTGAGCTCCTCCTCGGAGCAGCTGTTCGTCTCCAGGCTCTCAGCCTCCGACTCCAGCGCCTCCAGCACTAGCAGCGCGTCGCTCGTCTCCGTGGGGTCCTCTCGGGCCTGCGGAGCCGCGGCGGGCGGTGGGGGCTGCGGCCCGGACAGCTGCGGGGCGCACGGGCAGCTACCCTCGGCGGGCCCCGGGCCCTTGCCGGCCGGCCCCAGACCCAGCGCTGCCAGGTGGGCCTCCAGCCCCGCGGCCGCCGCTGCCGCCGCCGCCGGGCCCCAGCCCCGCTCCAACCCCAGCCCCAGGCCCAGCCCCAACCCCAGCCCCGGCGGTAGGGCCTTGGGGTCCAGGGTGCAACGGTGCCGGGGGCACAGCAGCTCCGAGGGCCCCGGCCCAGGTCCCGCCGCCGCCGCCGCCTCCTCCTCCTCCGGCGGCCGCCCTACGTTGCGGAACACCATCAGCTGCGGCGGCCGGGAATTCCGGGGCCCCGGCCTCGGCAGGAAGGGCGGCGGCGGCGGCGGCGGGACCGGGCTCTGGGCCGGGGGCAGCGGATGGGGTCCATGGCCCGGGGCCGGCGGCGGCAGCGGCAGTGGCGGTGGGGCCGGCTCCGAGGCCGCTTCTCCGTAGCCCAGCAGGCGGCTCAGGACGCGGTACGAGGCCGCCGCTGCCGCTGCCGCCGCCGCCGCCGCCTCGCCGTCCCGGAGCTCGGCCCCCTGCATCGGGGAAGGCGGGAGCGAGGCGCGGAGCGAGGGACCGCTGGGGACTAGGCTGGGCCCCGCCGGAGCCCCGCCCGCCGCGGCCCCGGTAGCGGGAGCGACAGCGCCAACGGCCGCTGCGGCCTCCGCTTCATCGAGCGCGGCGGCGGCGAGGAGGAGGAGGAGGAGGAGGAGGAGGAGGAGGAGGAGGAGGAGGAGGCGGGGACGGAGAAGAGAGAGGAGGAGGAGGAAGAGGCGGTGGCAGCAAGAGGGAGGGAGGGAGGGGGCGGGGGCTCATGGGAGAAGGGGAAGCACAGACCGGGTGCCCAGCGCGAGCCCAGCCGCGCGCCGCCTCTGTAAGCTACCCCCGCCCCGGCTCTATCGTCACTTCCGTGAGACGTCAGGCCAAGCCACGCCCTCCTCTCATGCTGTCCTTCCCTAAGCTTATATGCAACTTCCTCTTTCGCCAGGATTGTAGCAGTGTCAGGGTTCGGGACACATACTTGTGAACTGGCTCGCGCCGAGGCTTGTGTTTCGCGACTGACGTCACTTTCCCCTCTTTCTACCTTCCACCCCGCTCTAGACTAAAAGTCCCATGCTTTTTCATTGGTACGTGGTCTTCGAAGCCAACATGTTCCATCCTTTTCCAGTATTCTCGTTCTTATTCTCTCTCTCTCCCCCTTCCTTTCTCTCCCTCCCCATCTCTCTTTCCCCTGTATCTGTTTTCTTCCCTTTTCTTCTCTGTCACCTTTCTATCCTTTCCCACTCTCCCCCATACTTTCTCTCTTCACCTTCTCCCTCTCTCCTCTCCTTTCTATCCTTTCCCACTCTCCCCCCCACTTTCTCTTTCTCTCTTCTCCCTCTCTCCTCTCCTTTCTATCCTTTCCCACTCTCCCCCCTACTTTCTCTCTTCTCTCTCCACTTTCTCCTTCTCCCCTTTCCTTTCTATCCTTTCCCACTCTCCCCCTACTTTCTTCTCTCTCTACCTTCCCTCTTTTCTCTCTTCCCTCTCCCTTTCTAACCTCCCTTCCCTGGAATTGGAACTTTCCACTCCCCCTCAAAAAAGAAGAAGGAAAAGGCAGGCAAAGTCAAAGAAAGGTTCAAAAGTGTCAACTTCTCACCTAACTTGGCCAGGTCTGTAGATCTGCCTGCCTCTGAAAGGGACCTCAGATCTAGTTCAACTGCCTCATTTCACAGATGAGGAGACTGAGGTCCTGGGAATTCTAAGAGACTTGATCAGTTATCTGAAGGGAGAATTGGGCCCAAGTCCCAGATTCCAGAGCTTTTTTAACTGTATGACAATGCCTTCTAGGTTTCAGAGTAGCTTTGTTATCCTGCTCTCACTTTGTACCTCTCCCTCCCTCCCCTCATGCACATCATATATCTTGCTTGTGACCTGGAATAACTAGTAATCTTCCACAGCTCATAAGGCTTGTCACTACAGGAGATTACTGCTAGGCAGTTCAGAGCCATAGACTCAGGTGGCTGAGCCCTGCCAGTCAGTGCCACTTGAGCTCCTCAAATAGGATTGGAGATATTGGCTGGGGATGCAAAATCTATTGCTGGAAAGGAGATTGAGGTATGTAGGTGTAAAGGAAAGAGCACTGAACTCAAACAGAAGACCTGGAATAATGGCTTAGTCATTTACCTCTGTGTCCTGGGGCAAGTCTCTCAACCTCTCTGGGTTTCAATTTTCTCATCTGGAAAAACTATTTGGTATACCCACCCTCCAGAATTGTGCACTTTTATAACTATAAAGTCTATATAAATTCTTGCAGGAAAGACAAGATTGCTCCTCATGATAAGGATGATAAATCCAATCCTGTGCCTCTCACCTTCCCAAATCACAACTATTGGCAACTGTTCTAATCTTTTTCCTGGTAATTCAATCCATTTTCCCAGGCTGGACCAATGCTGTGCTGGAGGGAAAGGGGCCTGTGGAGTAAGAGGCTAGAAGAATTAACATTTTGTGTGGGTTTTTCCCCCCATTTTCTGTGATTGCATCAATGTGGAAACTCCTAGCATGGAAATTCCTTTTCTTTCATCAATGCAAATAGACATGTGAACTGCAACTTATAGTTGCCAAAATACACTGAAAAGTTAAGTGACATGCTCATGGTCACATACCTAGTATGACAGATAGAATTTTAAATCCATGTCTTCCAACCTTCTTATCCTCTGCACCCAGCTGTTTTTTGGGGCCGGGTGTAGAGGAAGTAAAATTAAGGAAATCCACAACCTTCACTTGCTACAAGTAAATCATTGTGACTCAATGGGTAAGAATTCAAATAAAATCCTTCCTTGATTAAGCCACCCCATCCACTCAAACCAGGAATCATTTCCCCCTGTGAAAAGAAAGGACCTTCACTAAAGTTATTTCCCTCAACAACTGAGGGAACCTGTGGAAAATTCAGAATTCTTGGCTCCCAGATAACTCCCTATCCAACTGTCTTCCCTTGCTCCAGGGATACTAGGTTCCACATTCAATAAAAAGTGATGGAGTGAGGTCTTAACCCAGCAGCTCCCTCTGCTGTCTACTGGCTGGTCATGGAAAGAAACAAGGAACTTTGAGATCATATAATACATTTAGAGCTGGAAGAGAACTAGTCTAACCGTTTTATATTTACAGATGCTAAAACAGAGGCTCAGAGAGGTTGCTGCGGTCCACACAGGTAGAAGGTAATAGAATCAAGAATTAAATCCAAGTCTTTAGTCTATTCAGTGCACAGGTAACAAAAATTCCCTTTCAGGGGAGAGCAGAGAATCTTTATCCAAATTTTTGGTGTCCTCTTTAGCTGATGACCAGGAAAAAAGTGCTAGAACCAGGAAAAAAAAATTTGTAATTAAAAATATTTTCTCTATTTCTGTACTTTTTGCTTATGTGTGGTTTATAAGACCCACAGAATGTCAGAACTATAAAGGACCTTTGAGATCATCTAATTCTAAAAAGTACACTTATTAATGACATTAGTGTGCATTTGGTAGGTGTCCCGGGTGACCTTTGGATAATAGCCTATACCTGGCTCATGTCCTGCTTTTTTGTAAAATTTACAGAGGGAATGTGGTATAGTGGAAAGACGATGGATATGGAGTCCAAGGGCCACCTGAGTTCAAATCCTACTTTGGCTGCTAAATAATTACCTGTGTGACCTTTGGCCAAACATGTAACCTCATCGAGCCTCAGTTTCTTCATCTATAAAATGACCAGGGTTTTGAGCTAGATGATTTCTAAGATCCCTTCCAGCTCTAAACCTATGCTTTTATGAATTAATTAGCAAGAGAGTAGAATATATAATTTAGCCATTAGAAAGTGCTATATGCAACTTAGCATTCAAGTGGTTCCCTCGGAGTGTGTCCAACCAGTTACCTGTAGGGACTTTCCCAAAGGCTAGAGTATCCCCATTGCTATATTCCTTCCAGAGAGTGTATAACCTATTAACTCTTAGCCTACCTTTCCCTCCCATTGGCAGATGCTTATTTAGCTTCTCATAATGTAACCAGGTGTTGGTCCTGATCAGGGATGTGCTGTTAAACATTTAAATAACCAGCTCTCCAAAAATGCACAATACACTTTAAAGTTTGATTTGCATCACTTTCTTAAGTCTATACAATCAATAAAATAATAAATCAAGCTCTGATATTTACATTTGGAGATTTCCAGGGTATAAATGCTCACACTAAAATTTAAATAATCAGCTCTCATAAGCTAGTCAGCTGGCTCCAGCATATTTCTGGTCTTGATTCAATATTATCTAGGGGTTATGAAAAGTAAATACTTTTCCAATTATGGAAAAAATCTTTATAACTTATTCTCACCTCATATCTAGGAAATTTATTTTAATCTACGTGATATATTTATATTACACAGGCAATCGACACTGTGGCCACAAATATTATGTGGTACAAATAAATAAATAAAAAGAATTGTAGAATTCTTTCTGGGATATTTCTATAGTCTGCATTCTCATTTGAAATTTGAGTCTCCACCAGACAGCTGCTACTTGCGGTTCTAAGGCGTAACCCTATGGGTTTGCATGCCTAACATTGCAAGCCCCTATTAGTACACTTCCCATTAACAATCAGTCAACAGACATGATTTGCTTTTAGCAAAGGCATTTACTAAGATGGCATAGTGAAAAACAGTGTCTGCAAAATATTCTCCCCACAAACCTGGGATGTATTCCTTCACAATTACATATAGATACCATCCATGGAAAGAGTGTGCTCAAACTTATAATACAATAATAGTGAGGTATACTTATAAGATAAAGGTATGGCAAAGTCAATTTACAACTTCTGGTACTGAAGGGCCTAAAAATCCTTTTTCTCTTTATAGAGTCCACATGGAATTCCCCTTGGGTATAGCATGTCTTCTGGGTGGTTACTCAGTTAGATTGCCCAAGTCTGCTTTTCTCCATAGCTAATCTTTTCTACTGCCAGGGTTGGGGTGAGGGATAGGGCAGGGGCACAGTTCCCATTCCACAAAACTACTTCTTTCCTTGATTAACTGCCTTTCTGTATCTATGACTATCTGCTCCCTCAATTGTGCTTCAAACCCTATGAACACTCAAATTGCTAAATGGAATGTCTTCCGCTCTGCTTCTACACTCTATGGTCTTTGGGGCAAGGTGGGGTATAGGATGTAAGGCAGATCTTCCCATCTTTTTGTATATTCTTCATATATGTCATTTACTATAGTGAATTCCTAGCTTTCCTCAAAGCACAGTTCTGGTGCCACCTCCTATACCAAGCCTTTCCTGATTCTTATCCTCTTCCTTAAGGTATTAGCGTTCTTCCTCTTGAAACTACTTCGAGTATACATTGGGCAATGGAAATCCATGGCCCATCCTATTGGAATAGCCCACATTTATCTGTCAGGAGCAACAAATCCATCTCTACATTCCAAAATCCCACAGGATCTTAACCTTGTTTATGTGGTTTTTCAGAGCGATAAATGATGAGATCATCTAATTCTAAAAAGTACACTTACAAGTGATGCTGGAACATAGGTATCTATCTACAGATAGGTGTAGATGCTGGCATAAGATTTATATTCTCTCCCTTGGCTTTTCAAGGGCTGGCAATAACTCACCAAATGCCACTAGAATCTCGATG